GTACTACCAAGTCGCCAGTTCTCATCTTCCAGCTCCCCAGCTACTCCTCGTACTAAAGTTGTACTACAAAGTCGCCAGTTCTCAGCTACACCCACTCACCAGTTCTCAGCTTCCAGCTCCCCAGCTACTCCGCGTACTACAGTTCTACTACAAAGTCGCCAGTGCTCATCTTCCAGCTCCCCAGATACTCCGCGTACTCAAGTTGTACTACCCACTCGCCAGTTCTCATCTTCCCACTCCCCAGCTACTCCGCGTACGACAGTCGTACTACCAGTTCTCAGCTTCCAGCTCTTCAGCTACTCTGCGTACTAAAGTTGTACTACCAAGTCGCCACTTCTCATCTTCCCACTCCCCAGCTACTCCGCGTACTAGAGTCGTACTAGCACGTCGCCAGTTGTCAGCTTCCAGCTCCCCAGCTACTCCGCGTACTAAAGTTGTACTACAAAGTCGCCAGTTCTCAGCTTCCAGCACCACAGCTTGCTCCGCTCGAATCGCACTCTCGCCTGCGTTTCGCGCACTCGACACGCACGATCTCCGCAGAGGGTCGCGCGGTAATTTCACAAATCGCACTCTTGCCTGCATTTCGCGCACTCGACGCGCACGATCTCCGCAGAGGGTTGCCCGGTAATTTCACGAATCGCGCTCTCGCTTGCATTTCGCGCACTCGACGCGCACGATCTCCGCAGAGGGTTGCGCGGGCCCCCGGCGCATCGCACTCTCGCCTGCATTTCGCGCACTCGACGCGCGCGATCTCCGCAGAGGGTTGCGCGGGCACCCGGCGAATCGCGCTCTCGCCCGCATTTCGCGCACTCGACACGCACGATCTCCGCAGAGGGTTGCGCGGGCAGCCGGCGCGCGGCGCTCTCGCCTGCATTTCGCGCACTCGACGCGCATGATCTCCGCAGAGGGTTGCGCGGGCAGCCGGCGCGCGGCGCTCTCGCCTGCATTTCGCGCACTCGACACGCACGATCTCCGCAGAGGGTTGCGCGGGCAGCCGGCGCGCGGCGCTCTCGCCTGCATTTCGCGCACTCGACGCGCATGATCTCCGCAGAGGGTTGCGCGGGCAGCCGGCGCGCGGCGCTCTCGCCTGCATTTCGCGCACTTGACGACACGCACGATCTCCGCAGAGGGTCGCGCGTGGACCGGACAAATCGCACTCTCGCCTGCATTTCGCGCACTCGACACGCACGATCTCCGCAGAGGGTTGCGCGCGGACCGGAAAAATCGCACTCTCGCCTGCATTTCGCGCACTCGACACGCACGATCTCCGCAGAGGGTTGCGACCGGACAAATCGCACTCTCGCCTGCATTTCGGGCACTCGACACGCACGATCTCCGCAGAGGGTTGCACTTTCGGTTGACGCTGTTCGTCCCGCCCTCCGCCTTTAAGAGAGAACTTATAAAGTGGGGAAATGTTTTTTCACTAGGACATCTCCCGTGCTAGTGTGCTAGTGATTTCCATGCTCACACTTGCCTACTCATTGCATGCTTGCATGCTCAATGCATGCTTGCGTACCCATCACTTGCATACTTACACTGCGCGCTTGCCGAGTGTCAGTGTGTATGTGTAAGTGTCAGTGTCGAAGTGTCAGTGTATGTAGTGCGAATGCGGTGGAAGTGTCAGTGTGTAAGTGTAAGTGTCGAAGTGTCAGTGTTCAAGGGATTTTCCGGAAGAACCCTTCGCAGTGCTTTCGGGAATGAGTGGGTGCATCTCTCTGAAAGTTTGGCTTGTATTTGAGTTGTGTGTGAATTACATGAGAAATCTTGCAATGTGGGATGTGCAGCATGTTCTTGACATTTGCATTTGTTGTACTTGAGAATGAAAAACTGTTTCTGGACGAGAATGAAAAGCTGTTTCTGGATGTTGGCAGGTGAGTCAGATTTTTTGGAGTTTTGTTTGGAAACATTGCCAAACACCAAAGGGTTCCTTATGCATTTCTTATGTTGCTTCTATTTTTTTATGCTTTTCAAATTTAGGTTGCAACTTAAACATAATTTAGGTTCCTTACACTTTTAGGTGTATTTTTGACCTAGCAACATGTAAATTTACTAATTTCCAAAGACTCAGGGCGGTCACATAGTGGCCCAAGTTTCGGTTTGAAAAAAACCCGTTGCGTTCGCTACCGCGAACAGGTCTAGAGGCGGGTGTTAGAGTACCTTGCATGACCAATGACTTTCTCACTTACAGTGGCTCTCAAAAGCACACAAGCACGTGCCCATGATTTCACACTTTTGGAGGTTTCGAAGGCCGGTGATTGCCAACAGGAACGTGGGACAATATTGCTGGAAGGCGATTTGGGCTCAAGTACATCGTGGTCAAATTTCCCATTCAGTTTCGCACACGAGACGCGCAGTCCACCGCCAGGAACCTCGCAGTTTTTGTTGGTTAGAAGTGAGGCACACACACGCACGCACTGATACCATTGGGTACACTCCAAATATCTAACGAACCTAACGTGCTGAGTGAGTGCGCCAACCAGCAAGACAGGATTGTCGATTGCAAAAGTGGCCTCCTTTTCAACCAGCATTTGCTTTAGTTCTTTTCGTCCCCCAGTGATACACCCTCACATTTGCACAACTTGTTTGCCTTTGCTTTTGTGATCCTCGTGTTTCAAGCGGTCTTCAGCTTATGGCAAACTGGCCGAAATGGAGCATTTACGAGGATCATTTCTTGTTGGTTTGTTGTGGCTTGCAATGCTTAAAACGAATGAGGAAATTGTGAGCGATTGTCCAACAGGGTCACTTCCAAAACCTTGTTTTGTTATTTGAATTGGCGTCTTGAATTGTTGAAGAGGTGACGCATCTCATCCGTTTGTTTTGTTTTTTTCTCCATTTGCTTGGCCCACGGGTTGCCTGCATTGTCGTGACAGGAATGTTTGGCAAAGGACCGCGTCATGTCAGCGAACGCAGACTTTCAAGAGTTTAAGAAAAAGGCCACGGGTTGTGCATTTGTTTTTGAGAAACTTGAATGCAAATCATATGGGAACGACACAAATCACCACCCCAAAACTCAAGTGGACAAACGCTTATTAAATAGGACGTTTTGTTGAAATGGCAATTCTTTGGCCAGACAGGTCTTGAAGGCATCCATTGAAGAGATCGATGCAGAGGTTTGGTAGCATGGGAGATGTCGGAACGTGGCGCAATTTTAAATTTTATCGCGTTTCAGCTTTGCTACAGCCCCAGCATTCGCCAAGAAACAATAATTACCATGTCAGGGATATTGCGGAACAAAGTCGCCGGTTTTTGACATTCCTTTAGACTCGCTCGACGGTGTTTTGATCATGGTCATTGTGTAGATGAGGATGGCACTGAGTCACTGGGGGAAGCGGCCAGATCTTGGGTTGAGGGTTTGTATCACAGTTCCGTGTGAGCCGAATGCACAGGCAATTCATGCTCCCACGATGTGGAGGTTCTTGATCGCGTTTGCTGAAAAGAAAGCATTCTACCGGTCATTGATCATTCAGGCACAATGTTTTGCTCGACGAACTGTTTTGTTCTTGCGTTGGATAACCACAACTCAACGAACTACTTTGCAGGTTTGAAGGTTGGTATTTTTGCTTGTTTTTTCTTTCATTTTTCTCACAACAAAAAGAACACGTTGGACAACTGTGTAGTTGATTTTTAGCAAACGCGTGTCACTCTACATGTTGAGGTTCAGATTCATGTTGCTCTTTGTGCAACGCAAGCGCCAAAACCACACGCTATTCTTCATCACCTATGAGCTGTTGAGGTGCCCAGGCGCCCAGGTTGCCGAAGACGACGTACGCCGGGCAGGTCTTCAACAAACTCATCCAGGTGCCCAGCTGGGCCAAGGCCTGGGAGGCAGACCGTGAGCTGCACCTGAAAGTCCAGACCTTGCATGAGGACGAGCGTTCGCGATAGCGAGCGATGGTGACACCGGGAGGGTCTTCGTGATAGCCACAGGTCCACAGTAGTCCACAGGTCCACAGGGAGCTTCGAGCTTTCGCAGCAAAACGACGTGTGGAAAAAACCATGACACGTTTTTGTCACAAGGCACTTCTTTTTCCAGAAAAGCCTGGAGATTCGACACTGTAAACTTTGGAAACCGTTTTTTTTTGTTTCGCAGGGATCCACTGAGCCACTGCGCTGCTGAAATTGGCCCACAGGACTTGCAGTCAGCCATTGGAGCGCAACATGAGGCTTGGTGTGTTCGAGGGCGCCTCCGTTGGATTTGTTTCGAAAAAATGGACACTTGTGAAGGCCATTTGGGCAGTCAACAGTGTCTCATGTAGAGAACTGAATTTGCGCTCTTTTCTTGAACAAAGGGCTCACAAAGTACATATCTATACATGCATGGTCATGAGTGTAAATCCTTCACACTCCTCCTCTGTCTGATGAATGATTTTCTCAAACTCGTTCCCATAGACCGGCTCTTCTCAAACTAGACACGTAAGACCTCAACTTCACGACCCTGCCCAATCTACGTCTCTCTTGATCTTCCAGCTTGTACAACTTGTCTTGAATCCTTCGATATAATTAGGATTGCGTTTTGCTCTTGTGTTTCCTCTAAGGTCCTGTTGTCTTCTCAGGTCCTGTTCTTGAACGTCTGGGTCCGCCCCCCGCACCAATGGAACTGCCCCTTGTGTTGCTGCCAACAACATAGTGTCATGGTCACTGTACTAGCTTCTTGTTACTACTAGCGTGGCACTTGTTACTAGTAGCTTCTTGTTTCTAATAGCTTCTTGTTACTACTAGCGTGGCACTTGTTACTAGTAGCTTCTTGTTTCTAATAGCTTCTTGTTACTACT